GATTCAATGGTTAAAAGTGAGATTTTAAGTTAGAGATTTTAAGTTGGAATCTTAAGTTAAGTGGAAAAGGATTTAGGGAAAAAAAAAAATTATTTCCTCTTATATAGTTCATTCAGATGTATCAAAAAAAAAAAATTATAACGATGAATAGCTTCATCTATAAGACGAAGCATAGATTATTAGCCTGGGTGAAAAACAGGGGGGAGGGTAGTATTTAGTGTCGGTAAAGCGTGCATCAGTAAAGGTTATAAACATGGAGTCACCTTCACCGTCGGTTTATATATATATATATGATAGTATATTTGGTTTAATAAAAATAAAAGTGAAGGGAGTGGGAAAAAAAAAAAGTTTTTAACAAATTCAATCATAAAGATTTTAAATATTATAACTTAATTTGTAAAACAATCTATACTTTACCCTTCTCTCCTTAGTTTCGTTCGAATTAAACATATCTCAAAGTTTGTATTGACTTTTCAGTTTTTTCTTTTCTTTTCTTTTTTTTTTTCAAAGGTTTCAGTTGGTTTTAAAAAGTGTGCTTTTGGTTCTTTTTTGGGGCCAGTTTGGCTACGTGAAGGAAGCTTTAGGGTAAATGGCTTCATCTTGGGCTCAAATATAGTTGAAGAGGCCTATTTAGAGGAACTAATACAAATAGGCAAATGGGTTGAATTGGGTTTTTGTCATTGAGTCGAAGAACAGGTCAGTTGAAGTACAATGGAGAACCCAACATTTTCTGAAAATGGTTATTGTCCCCTACCTAATTTGGAGAGAGAGGTCATTACGAGGCAAGAGTGGCATATAATTCAGTAGAAGACAGAAGCAGTAATGCCTTAATATTATAATTAGATGTCACAGCATGTGGAAAATAGAAAATTATGACTATGAATAGTGGCAGGATTTGCAGCACCATGGATGCAAAATACTACGAAAGAATACTTTAGTGGGAGATGCCCCACATGGCAATGAGTTCAAAGATACACTTTTGAGTATCCTCAAGATTTCATTCCAATTGTATATTGGAATTGGATATGCCTTCCAACTTGGAAATTCTCAGCAAGCAATAATAACTCAAGCTGGTGAATGTGTTCATGCATTATATGGCTTTGAGCATCAGAACTGGATGGGTAAAAACAAAGGGAAATTTAGGGATAATGATGTCTGAAATACAAGGAGTGGACAGAGCCACTAGATTGTGACTTGGACTTCCACCAATTGTAAGGATGACATAACCCACGCATCATGGCAAGGTCAATTCCATAATATTGTCAAATGGGACAGACAATTATCAACTAGACCTTTGCAGGGTTTATCCAATGGTATGTCAACTAGTCTTTGATTCATCCTTTTTTCGTTGATTTTTGGATTGGTTCTTTATGTACTAGACTCCTTATGGTATTCCAATAATCATGATAATAAATTAGGGAGAATGATCAGATCAAAATGGTAGAATATTATGATATGCTACATAATGTGAAAATAAAAGGTTGAAATAATAAAAGAATATCCAAGGGGATTCCCAAGTAGAGTACATTGTTTCTAGAAAACAGTTTAGGATGTTAGAAAACATGTTTCTAGAAGCCTCAGTTGAAAGAAAAGAGGAAGATCTTGCTGATCATGAGGTTGCTGACTTGCTGTTAGTAGCTTGAATGTGTTGATTTGAGAAAGCACAATGCCAGAGAACCCTCCACTAGTGAATTCTTGTCTTATTATGCAATTGTGGATTTGTGTCTTTAAGGTGTTTGATTAAATTACTCACCCAAGATTTGAATACCATACCCCCATTATCTATAAACCACTCATTTTCCTGAAGAAGAGGTCCAAAGTTCAATAACTCACCATTTTTTTTTTTCTTTTCCCAATAGCACCAAAATAAAAAATAGCATTAGATTAAGAGGTCTAGGGGGTGACATTGGGATTATACATAGGCACAGGCGCCCAGCCAAAGCAAAAGAGTAATCTAGAGAACTGTAGCATTTGTCTTGCAGTACAATTGCTCTAGACTGTTAAAGGGACTTCTAAAGCTATGTTACTGACCATGGAAGTGCCACAAACATTCAAAGGAAGAAAACAATAAAGGGTGAGTCAGATTGTCATGCAGCTTTAATTTTAGAGTCTATTTGATTGTGTGTCATATATACATTGAGAACTACCACTCACTGGACACTGTACTAGGGAGCTGTGCTTCCTTCTTCCTGAATAGCAGTAATTTGGTACACCCTATCTTTAATCAAAGGGTTAATTGCCTCTATATAAGCGAAAATTTTAAGTCATTTGCTTTGTTTTGCTTTTCCTTTTCTCTTTCCCAATGGTTCCACAAGAGGAGGACCATAGCAGCTCATTTGTTCCTTTTTTGAGTTTGTAAACAAAAGCAGAAGACGGCAGCCATCTTTTGAGAGTAAAGACCTAGGGGGCATTGCCAAAGGTGTTCAAGTGTGAATGCCCTTAATAAACGAGGACCGTCTCCTAGTCAAAAGACAATAATGCTCTTCTCATGATCTATATTGATTTCATAATTGATGTTAATCATACTATCTAGACAATCTAGTGTCCTTAACACTAGAGGCTAGAGCTATGGCCCCAAGGAGTGCCCCCCATGTTCTTGGTGCTCTTCCTTTTTTCTTATTTGAAACTGGGCCCTTTAATACTTTATTTTTAGAGCCTTCCTATTTCCTATCTTGCTCCCTTAAAACTCTAAAAAAATGATGCTTGAGTTGAGTACGTGTCACATATTTAGGCATATCCTTTAGTTCATTGGTTAATCAATACCATATACTGAAATTTGTGATATAAAATGATAGATTTAGGCTTGATTACGTGTCAGATATTGGTCATTCCATTAGCTTATTTCTTAATCATACCATACCTAGAAAACTTCCCATATGTCTATCGGCTACCAACATCTCTGTCACACTGCAATTACTCAATGCATGATTATATAGTTTATTCAGGACAAAACAGAGATCAAACTAAACTGTCCAAGCATATGACAGTTTAATGTCCTATATATGGCATTTAGAATGGGCAATTCTGGGGTCAGGATGACATGTATGCTGTATGCATCTTCCTCTTCCACCATTGGAATGTGTAATCCACGCTCCGGGAATTTTGTCATGTGGTATTTTCATCGTATGGGATGTTGTATTGTTCCTGAATTACTATCTGTCAAATGAAGTGGACCAAATATTTTCCCCAGTGACACTTTCTGTTTGTCATTGAGGCTGATAATAACAGTTCTTCTGCAGTCATATTATGTATCATGGCACTTGGAATTTGGAAAACATAAATTATTGACAGATGGGTACAGTTTTTCAATTCAGAATTCGAAAATTTGGATCACATACACATACAATCCGAGCCTGCTTGGAAACCAATAAAAGTCTTCTACATTGCTTGCAACATTTTTGTCAACTTTTCATGATGAATAGTTTTATTGATTTTGGACTAAAATGGTTATCTTTTTTCCTCAGGCTCAATCATATAACAAAGCTCCAGAATAATTGACACAATCTGTAGCATCCAAAGCAGCTTTAACACCACAATCTCCTTGAGAAAGATAATGGAACCAGGTTCTCTCTTTCTGGATTCTCTGTTGTGTGATATAGAGATCGAATGTCAACCATTTCTCTCCTTTATGCTTCTTCGTAGTCTGCTCTGTCCTACTTTGTCATCTGTTTATTCTCCATAATGGTCTTCCACATGTTTTCTTTTCTTAAATCTACAAACTAATTAGGTTTGGGGCGATACATAATGGATTTGAGGGATCTGTTACTCATACCATGACATTAAGTCCTGAGACACCCTCAGCATATTGCAAAATGTAATTGGACATGGAAGATTTTGACAAAAGTGAAGTTTAGATGTTTCCTCTTGGACTTACTACAACATAAAAAGCCTCTCCTAACACAAGTATGTTATTAGAATCCTTAGGCATTGAGTGACCACATAAGGGAGAGTGACCCTTCAGAAGGGCCAGACCTGCCCTTCAATAACAAAGATAGAGACACCTAAAAAGACCAGCCTGCCTTCAATTTTCAGCAAATTTGCCAAAGCCATCAAACAAAAGTGGAGCCAACCAACCACATGTTGTTACAAGAGCACTCTTTCCCATGTAGGGGTTTCATGGATTTTTTCTTTTCTTGAAGTGGAACATCAAAAGCAAAAATCTCCTACTTTTACTTTTCAGCCCTCTCTTTAAGACTATTCCATCTTCTAATAAAGCTCTAATGCACATTTAAACATAGAGAAATAGAGAGAAAGAGGGCTCTTGGTCCCAGGAATGTAGTGTAAGGAAGGAGAAGGGAATAAAGTTCATTAAAGAAAAAAAAGAAAAGAAACGCTTCCTCTGGCTGGTTCCTTTCTTCTATGCAACCTATGCACACAACATAATTATATATTGATCATTCAAAACAAACATGGTAATGATATATTAATAATCATCATCTTTTTTACTTCTTATTACAGTCTTCTGATTCTTCTGCAGATAGCACATGTTCCCAACTCAAGATAAAAACAGTGCAACTTACCTTGAATTAGCAAATTCTAAACTTTGAATGAAAATACACAACCACAGTATGGTGTATGACTGTATGTATACCTCTAGAAGCATTTCTTTCTGTCCAACCTGTTGTTGGGTACATATATGATGCTGACAGAGTGTCATGACATATTGACAGTCATGGTTTGAAGAATGATGATCGCAACCTGATTTTATCTACCAAAATAACTTTTTAATGGGTCCTCCATGCATCATCAAGGTGTTCATGCATATACTTTTTCATGGGATAATTTAAAATTTGTTAGAGATACTAAGGCCAATGGAATTCCTCTGTTCAAATTTCACCTTCTCCACGTTAATGTCTCATATTTCTCTTTAGTGTAGCTGTCATGTGGTATTGGGATGCAGTTTGTGCTCACCAAACTAAGTTCAGCTATCTTGTCTAATCAAAACGAAGAGAGGACGTATAAATGTATATATACCAAGTAGGAAAAGAAATGAATGGTTGTGAATGATGAAAAGCAACAGGAAAATTGAGCCATTTTGAATGATTGAAAGTGCAATTTCATCATCTTGAATTGAAAACAAATAAAGAGCATCTCTTTGATTAAAGTTAAAGGGTAGTTTTGTCATATGAAGAAATAAAGAAACAAAGAAAGAGAGAGCAATCATCTTTACTTTCTTTTCCTTCCCCCAAATCTCTACTTTAAATTTCTGTTATCCAAGCGATAATTTTAATAAATCCCTCCTCGTTCTTCTCTCCGTGCTCTGCTCAGACCTTCAAATCTTCCTTTTCCCTTCTTCTTCTTCTTCTTGGTTTAGAGGAAAAAAGGAAAAAAGATAGGAAAGGAAAAGCAAAGAACAGAGAGAAAAGGAGAGGCGCACCATTCTTGCTTGTATATTACTCCTCCTTCTCGCAAGATGTTTGATTCCTTAAGCACATACAAACTTAAATTTTCCATCAGATTCTCTTCACTTTCTCTTACTTTCCCGGAAAATCTATGTTTTTTGGAACACTTAAATCCTCTTGTCTTTGCTTCAAGGCCTTCCAAATTCCACCCCCTTGAGAAACATTTTCCTGAGAAAAATATGGTCCCTCTGCTGGTTTTGACACTAGTCTCAATTCTAATAACACCTTCTTCCTCTACTTCTCTTGTTTCTGATTTTCATGCTTTGGTTAGCCTCAGAAATGGATTTCAGTTCCTGGAACCAATGTTGAGCACATGGAATGTTTCGAATCCGAGCTCGGTTTGTTCTTGGACCGGAGTTCAGTGTTTCCGGAGAAGGGTTGTTTCTTTAGACTTGACAGACATGGATCTGGATGGATCTGTTTCGCCAGAAATTTCAAAACTTGACAGGCTCACCAACCTCTCTCTGGCTGGAAACAACTTCACTGGTGGCATTGAGATAGTGAACCTGAGCGAGCTCCGATTTCTCAACATTTCAAACAATGGCTTCGGCGGGAACCTGGAATGGAACTACTCGGGCATGGGGAATCTGGAAGTGTTGGATGTTTATAACAACAACTTCTCTGGGTTCTTACCGGCGGGGGTTGTGGAATTGAAGAAACTCCGGCACTTGGATCTCGGCGGGAATTATTTTGTCGGTGAAATCCCAACGAGCTACGGCCGGATACTGGGGTTGGAGTATCTTCAGCTGGCGGGAAATAATCTTGAAGGGAAAATCCCAGGTGACCTGGGGAATCTCACTAATCTCAGAGAACTTTACCTTGGGTACTCCAATGCCTTCGAAGGTGGGATTCCACGGGAGTTTGGTAATCTGGTGAATTTAGTCATCCTGGATCTTTCCACCTGTGAATTGGACGGTCAAATTCCACCGGAGCTTGGAAATTTGAAGTCCCTAGACACTCTGTACCTGCAAATCAATCTGCTCTCCGGTCCTATTCCAAAGGAGTTGGGCAACTTGACCAGTTTGGTGAACCTTGACCTGTCGTACAATGTACTCACCGGAGAAATCCCGCCGGAGTTCGTGAACCTGAAGAAGCTCAGGCTTCTCAATCTCTTCATCAACAGGCTACACGGGTCTATTCCGGACTATGTTTCAGAGTTCCCTGATTTGGAAGCACTATCCCTGTGGCGCAACAACTTCACAGGCGTCATACCGGAGAATCTTGGCCAGAATGGGAAGCTTCAGTTGCTTGATTTGTCTTCCAACAAGCTCACCGGAATAATCCCTCGAAACTTGTGTTCTTCCAATCAGTTAAAGATTCTGGTCCTGATGAAGAATTTTCTGTTCGGCTCTGTTCCAGAGGACTTGGGGAGATGCTATAGTCTCGTCAAGGTGCGGCTGGGGGATAATTACTTGAACGGAAGCATTCCGGAGGGGTTCATTTACTTGCCAGAGCTGAATTTAGCAGAGTTTCAGAACAATTACCTGACCGGAGCATTGCCAGAAAACGGTAATAGTTCATCAAAACCTGTTAATTTAGGACAGCTGAATCTTTCAAACAATCTTCTCTCCGGTCCATTGCCAGTTTCAATTTCAAACATTTCTTCCATTGAATATCTTCTACTTAGTGGAAATCAATTTTCGGGTCCCATTCCTCCTACTATTGGAGAACTCCGGCAAGTAATCAAGCTTGATCTTAGCGGAAACTCACTCTCCGGTTCTATTCCACTGGAAATTGGAAACTGTGTCCATCTTACCTCTCTCGACTTGAGTCAGAACAATCTTTCCGGTTCAATCCCACCTGCTGTTTCCAGTATCCATATCCTTAGTTACTTGAACGTATCACGAAACCACTTGAACCAAACCATACCCAAATCCATAGGATTCATGAAGAGTCTCACCATTGCCGATTTCTCCTTCAATGATTTCTCGGGGAAGCTACCGGAATCAGGCCAGTTTGCTGTCTTCAACGCCTCATCCTTCGCGGGGAACCCCCAACTCTGCGGTCCTCTGCTTAGCAACCCCTGTAATTTCACCACAATCACCAACCCCCATGGAAAGACACAAGGATACTTCAAGCTTCTATTTGTATTAGGCCTATTGATGTGCTCATTAATATTCGCCATTGCAGCCATAGTCAAGGCCAAGTCATTCAAGAAAACAGGGCAGGATTCGTGGAAGATGACCTCATTCCAAAAACTCGGATTCACAGTCTCTGACGTCCTTGAATGTGTCAAGGACGGGA